GGGCTCACCGGCCCTAGGAAGAGGACGAAGGCTGTCATTCATGATGAACCTAGAAATAAAGTAGAAGAGTTCATCCCTGCGAATAGAAGATTTGCAGATCGTCGCCATGAACAAAAGCCATTAATCTCACCTCATACGTCGGAGGCGCTGACTCACTTGCATGTTCTCCTCTAGGATCTCCTCCACCACTCACTTGCCGCGGTTATCCTCGCCGGCCATGAGAAATGATTGGATCTACAAAAGATGAAGGGAACCGCTGTAGGGTTTTTGCCGGCGGAAGAAAGAGTTGTAGATAGAGATGTGTTTGAGGCCAAAGCCCTGGACTGGTATTTGAAGACATGAAGCGAAGAGGCGGACGCCTCGGGGCACGCAAAAGGCAACCGCAATTAATAGAAGGCGAAACGCCACTTCACCAATGTCGAAGAGAATACGACGCCAGATGACTAAGGATGGAAGATCAAAGGGCTCCCTTAATAAAGGACGTATTTTTAGACCTAGATAGAATTAAAGCCAAGGGTCTGGAATCGGCTATTTTCAAAATCGGTTCTTCAGCCAGAACAAAGGACGACTTTCGGGAAGGCTGGAAATGAATTACCCTTAATGTCCAAGGACAAAAGGGCTGGTAGAGTCACCCTATAAACCCACGCATAGCCATAGCATAGTCTCTCCTTGGGAAGTTTAAACCAGATTGAGGTGCGTTATGCCGAAGTTTACAAGAATTTTGTGATGAATAGCTTGGAGGATTTGTGCTGCCTTCGGCTACGCGCTCTTGAAAAGCATTGAAGCCTACGAACCAAGGATTGCAATGTTATGATTGAGAGGTCAGGAATGAGCAATTCTCTGAGGGAGGTTTGGTTTAGAGTGTAAAATTGCCGATCAATTCAAAGGACAGCAAATCTGGCAAAAATAGTTGACTAATTGAGAAGGACCTTATCGGATCAAGCGTTGTGCGCTGGGTAATATTTATATTTTAGAAACACTGAAAAGGATTCGGCAGAGCGATCGGATGGGAAATATTTGAAGGAATATTACCCTAATGTTTGGATTAATACTGGACAACTAATTTGCTCGATTGACAGCTCTAATAGCCGATACCGGGAGGGTATCACTTCTGGTGTGGAAATAAACCCAGAAGGGTGAAAGCCGGTACAATGTGTGTTGCCCACAGGAGCAAAGCAAGCACGAACAAAGTGATGCATATAGCATGGAGTATGAAACAAAAGAACAAATCATTCAAGACAGAGGAATTGTTTGCTGATATCACATATTACAAACTACGGGCCAGAAAATATTTTGGCTATTATATCGTCGGCCTCGGGAGATGATCGACATTGAACCATGGCCAGAGCCGATTCTGTGAGGGAGAGACATTCAGCGAGATTCTGGCCATACCGATCAATGGAGGCAAGCAAATCTTTGTTGTCAATCCGCCTCCTTTGATAACAAGGAAGTTGGTGATAAGCTGTTGAAGAAGAGGACCCTAAAGGCCAAACGGAGTCGGTCCTATTCTCCGAGGCAGCAGGGGCACCATGAATTGCACCCTCCTGCCGATGAAAGCACTGACGCGATGATGCAGGTCCGTTGAGGGCCTCCTCAGCGAACTTCTTTCTATTCTCCATGATCAAACAGGAACTATACTAAGGACGTGGAAGGTTTGAGGTGAAGCGAGTTGTTTTTCGATCCCCAGCCGTGGCCTGTATATATAGCCCAGAAAGGTAGAGAGATAGATCTCACCAGCGGTGTGAAATTGAAATCAGATACAGAAAAGGATCGATGCTCCGAGAATTTAGGGAACAGATAACAAAGAGATAACAGATTTAGACTTATTGCTCTCCCAAATTATAGAATGCCATGGGATAGATCAAAAGATTTACATTGACCAGCAATCAACCCACCAAGGCCTCTTTGGATTGAAGGGAGTTCGAATCCCCATAGGGCCGAAAAGTCATCATAAACCAAGTCACATCGGCCCATTAATAAAATTGCGATAGGGAAGGAAAAGGCTGCTTGTCTAGCAAATGCCCAACTGATTTCTCGAAGCTGCTGGAAAAAAGCTTGTGGCTTTCCCGACGGGCATTTGATTGAGCAGACAAGGGGAAAGCGTCCACGCATTTTAGCCTTTGTAAACACTAGAATAGCTCTACGAGCATGGAGAGAAGACCTAAGTGATATCACAAGGATTCTTCCAACTACAGTAGCTGATTCTCTTGCTCGACAAAGTGCTAAGATGGGAGACACAATTGCCCTATACACAAGAATTCTTCTAGCCGCTAGAGATCTTTATAGCAAAAGGATATACCATGGAGGGTCCAGCGGAGTTGAGAGCACTCGAGGGAGCAGATGGAAGAAGAACATGGCTGAATTGTTGAGCTGCTCTCACCAGGGTCAGATGAGCTTTTTATAGCCGGCTCGAGAAAATGAATCCAAGTGCCCGTGAAGCAGTGATGCTCTTGTAAAAAGTTTTAAGGCATAGGCTCATGAGTGGACGCAAGCAACAACAAACAGTGGACCCCAGATCAAGGTTCTCTACCCGTGACCGTGGACCAATCAGGAATACAGATATGATAATTTTGGAATAAAATTACTTTTATCCCAAAATTGGGGGGCATGTGTTTACACCAAAATTTGGAAGAACAGTTGCAGGGACTCGAAAGCTCCCAAAAATCATGTCGTCAAGGAATCAATTGCGTGCAGATCAGAACCAGCTGATTCGGATGCCAAAAACTAGAATCGGCTTTCTCCGGATATCGCCAGCGGATAACGAAGAAGGCTACGATTCGGCGCCAGGACGAAACATGTAGGACTCTGCAAAAAAGGAAAGATTAGAGTCCAAGTTATCTTAAAATTGGAATATTTTCTTTAGAGTCAAAATTTATGATGAGTCGTGCTTAGATAGGAGTCGTGCGCAGGTCCCAGGTATAAATACCAAACCCCGGCTATTGTAAAAAAACAATCAATCAATCCAATACACAAGTTATTTACTTTTTCGGCTCCGGCCACCCTTAGGAGTAGGAGTAGAGTAGATCTCGGCGAGTTCTTCAGCAAGTACGGCTGCATCGATCCGGTCGACCTCCACTACTTGTTGTAAGTACAGTCATGGCTTATACCTCTGTTCGTACGGCTGCATCGATCCGGTCGACCTCTACTACGACTCTGGTATAAGTTAGTTATCGACTCTTGCCTAGTTCAAGTATGGTTGCATCGATCCGGTCGACCCCCACTGCATGAACTAGATCAAGGTCAAGTTATCGGCTCTACCTTAGGATGGCAGCCTTTGGTAGATTCATTAAGTTACTGATATTGCTTATTACTTTCATTGTTTATCTAATTACAGCAATATCATTCTGCCCAATTGAGATTGATCTAGATTGGCCTTATATCTTGTTTAGCCCATCGTTTGTTAATCTAAATTGATCTAATCTACACCTTAAATGATGAGTTATATTTTATCGGCTGTTTTATGTCAATCCTGATCGTGCATAGCGTGCGGTTAAGGCGTGTTGCGTCTTGAGTAGATTTATTGGCTAGCGAGAACTGTTCCATGGCCCGTTATCACGGCCTGTGTGATTCTATCTCACACCCCACTGTTAGCACCATAGAGTGGGGATCGTTATCTGGTAGATCTATTCCTGATAAGGCATGACTTTAACTGTGCGCTATGCCTGAATCGGCTGTTTTAGCCGATATCGAGCGCTTTCACGAACAGTTCACATCATGAGACCGTTGAAGTAAAGATATGTTGAAAGATATGTTAGCCCCATGATCTTATTATTGTATTACGGCCTGCATCATTCTGCCTCATGCCCCATTGATATTAGTAATGAGTTAGGGTCGTCGAGTCTATTATTATTTTTACTACGGCGCATTATTCTCGTCTCATGCCCCACTGGTCATAGTGATAGATGAGATCTAACATATTTATTAGATTTATCTTTATTAAACAGTTAAGTGATGTTGAATTGTTTTTTATATAAAAGGGGTTCGGTTACTTATAATCATTGGCTCAGCATAAACCGATCATTGTTGACATCTTATTGTCATTGATTAATATCTGTTCGATCAATGATATTTACTCTGAATGATAACCGATTCTTCTTATACAACCAAATGAGGTTTAATCGATTTATTCTCATGAATATGCTGGAATCGACTATTTAGTCGATCTCCTTTCATATCGGCTCTCATAGCCGCACATTCGGGACTGTCTGGCAACACCGGCAAGTTCCATCCTTAATTACTGATGAACTTTCTCTCCTTATCAATTACAGGGTCAAATTGACTGGCATGTCTCGGAAGGAGTGCGCAGGATCGACCACCCTTGCGCTGAAGCTAGGCGGATATACTCCATCGAGCGGACTCTTCCAGCTTGCTGCGTGTGTCCTCGACATGGGACGAAAATTCTATGTCGACAGTAGCACTATTGGGTCCAATTATACACATCTAAAAAAGATCATCGTCTACCCGGTGATATTAAGTCTTGATCTATGTTCATGTGTCCGCGTCCGATATGATTTATCTTCTACTCGGAGCTCATGAGTCCGTGTCCTACTCAATTCCGATACAAAGACTGAATCCACGTGTTCGCGTTCGAAAGTACAAAGTTACCTCTTAGATTATGGAGATTCGCTCGTTCTGGTAGATCCGATTAGGATTATTTTGGAGATTCAGTTTAAAAGAAATTGTACCCCTAGGAAAAAAAAATAGAACAGAACTGGGGTGGTCGGTGCGCTGCTGACTGCTGACCAGTCTGACGTGGGATCCAAGCATCCAAGCAAAGTATCCAGGTGGAGAGTCTGACATGTAGGGTGGTTAGGCCCGGCCCACGAGTACCCGTATCGAAACGGGCTACGATTACCAAACCGACCTGGCTCGGCTTTGCTTTTTCCAACACGCGTTGGAGCGACGGGTGCACTTATCAGGAACTGGACAGGACTACGGGGCCAATCCCCCCCCGCCTCTTCGATCCAAACCCTACCAAATCGACCCCCCCTACTAAATCGATGGCCGACGGCGGCAGCGGCGAGCCGGGGGCCGGCGGTGGGTCGGCGCCGGTGTGCACTTTCGTGAGGAAACCACCCAAGAACATGCGGAAGCGCCCCGCCGCGCCCGCGGGATCTGATGACGACGACGACGACGGCGGCAGCGGCGCCCTCGCGGCTGCGCGCTTCAAGAAGGGGCCGCCGTCCTCAACCACTGGCAAGCTCGTTTTCTCCACCGCCGACGCCTCCTCCGAGCCGCGGCGCTTCCAGTACGAGTCGTCCCGGACGATCCAGTCCACGGACACCCGCGCAACCGCCGTGCTCGAGACGGAGACGGAGTTCGACCGCGATCCGCGCGCCATCCGCGAGAGACAGCTCAAGCAGGCCGAGGAGTTCCTCAAGAAGAATCCCTCCGGTGCCTCCGCCTCCGCTTCCGCTTCCGCCTCCGCCTCCGGGGAGGTGTACAAGGGGATCCACGGCTACACGGACTACAAGGCTGGGTTCCGGCGGGAGCACACTGTGTCTAGCGAGAAGGCCGGCGGTTCGCACGGCCCGCTCCGGGCGGCCGCGCACATTCGCGTCTCCCAGCGGTTCGACTACCAGCCCGACATCTGCAAGGACTACAAGGAGACGGGGTATTGTGGTTACGGCGATTCCTGCAAGTTCATGCACGACCGAGGGGATTACAAGTCCGGGTGGCAGCTCGAGAAGGAATATGAGGAGGCGGAGAAGGCCCGCAAGCGGCGCATTGCCATGGGCGGTGGGGATGGGAGTGATGATGAGGCAGCAGATGAGGACGAGGATGATGAGGAGGCGCTGCCCTTTGCCTGCTTCATTTGCCGGCAGCCATTCGTTGATCCAGTGGTCACCAAATGCAAGCACTACTTTTGTGAACATTGCGCTTTGAAGGTATGAATCAGTTTGGTTTGCTTCTTGTATGATTTCCATCTGTAGAAGATCTAGTTATCCACCTGCTTGCTTGGGTAGGCTAATAGTTTGTGGTCCCAATGATTCTGGACAAGAAACTTTTTGAGACTCAACATTTAGTTGAGCTGAAACTGAATTTACTTAAGACAATAGTCAATAGGAGATGTTTTCACAAGATGAGAATCACACACTGGATTGTGGATTGTACGAGTATATGAATTACTTTCACAAATTTAAGCAACTTTCAAGGATATAGTGAAGATAAATCTTTTATAAGGTATAATCTGCTTCATCATCAAACCACTCTCTATGGATTGATCATTGCTATTTGGTGTACTGGATGTTCCACCAAATAGCACCCTTTGCTTCTTCACACTTCTGCACATGATTCCAGCAAGTTGTTACTCCTGCCAGATTGAACTTTTGAAACCATAATATTTGTCAATTCTGTTCTGGATGTCATTCCGGTTTCCTCTTGGAACAGAATGTGTCAGTACAGGTCCATTTCAGTGTTATATGTATTTACAAATTAGTAAACATTTATATGCACTAGTGAGCCTTTTGCGTTCTGAATCAGTCCAGGGCCTGACCATTGCCACCAACATGGGCCCAGTAGATAGCATTGTAGCTGGTCCATGAAGCAGGCAAGCAAAAGCAACCGTAAATGCAAGAAGCTAATAAAGCATCGATCCTTTCCTTGTTGCCTTATCCACTTGTTCATTGTACCCAGAGAAACAGCTGAGGCTGTGCCACCGCAGCAGGTGTGACTGCTGCTTGGCTTCTGTCCCGCGCGGCCAATGCTTGGCTGGATGCACTGTCTAGCTGCTATCCCATCACACCGTTCTTTGCTTTCAATGTCTATATACCACGAAAGCTCACTGATGCCAATGCCTTGATGTAGTTCCTTTTCCTTCATATGTAATTTCTTGTTCTTTTTCAGATCTTAAATTAGATGTTTCTTGATCAATATTCGTGATCGAATAAACAAAGATTCTTGATATCTTCCTAATTCCTACTCAATGGATCCCTCTTTCTTGATTTCTTACCATTGGCGAAAGCTCTCGTGATCTTCAGCCTATGCTTGGTCATGTGTGGACTGTACCGGGACAGATGGTCTGCTGAATACCGTCCAGAATGGGTGAGATTGACTGGATTAGCCGGAATCGACTGAGATTAGGGCCGGTACTGGGTGATGTCTCTTCTGTGCCAGTTTAGGTGGCAGAACGAGATATACTGCCTGTTTCGTCTGGTATTGGAATGGAATTGATAAGATTAGTTGACATTGCCCTTTGTATGGGATTTTCCCCTCCTACTTTTCATGACAATCCTATCCACTTCTGATTTCTCAACTGAGACTATTACTTCATGCAGATGAAAGCCTCTGCACGGCTTAACTCTGCTTCTTTACTGCCAGAGAACAAGGATAGCATGAATCTAGAAACATGTCCCTTAATACTTAAAATGTAAGCAGCTTTATCAACTTTAAAAATAAACTGCCTAGAGATGTCCATCTCTTTGTTCCGCTTATTCTCTTACTGTGGTCCTTCTGAACACAAGTAGGAATCCTATTTCATCTGGAGGAGCAGCCTTTATTAGACCAACCTACATGAGCTTCCACTTTCTGCACTCAAGGGACACATTTTTGAACTCCCAGAGGTGGTGGATCTTCATTATTTTCATGAGTCCAGTGAGTTAGCTTTGAGCTATCCACACAAGTGATCTCATGATCAGTGTTATCAAGTCGTCCGATTAATCACGATTACTTGGACTGATCGGTCCCATGACTTTGATTATGTCCACCAACTCGATTTGTCTGACCAGTTTCCATGTCGTCTGACTAATTGTTGCTTAATCGCGATTAGCCATCCAATTAGGATGGAAAACAACTAGCTTTCACGCTGTGTATTGGCTGCCTGAGCAACTGGGTTATTAGGATTAATCCTCATCCTTTTCTTATATCAATCCTGGGCCCTGTTTAGATGGCGAAAATTTTTGCAAAATGCACTGTAGCACTTTTCGTTGTTATTTGGCAATTAGTGTCCAATCATAGTCTAATTAGGCTTAAAAGATTCGTCTCGTGAATTTCGTCTAAACTGTGTAATTAGTTTTATTTTTATTTATATTTAATGCTTCATGCATGCGTCCAAAGATTCGATGTGACGGGGAATCTGGAAAATTTGGCAAAATTTTCTGGAACTAAACTGGACCCTGTTCAAAAAGCACATGGAAGTTTATTAGGATGCACTTGTGTTTTTTACTCATATAAATCCCAATTGAGCAGTTGCACACTAATTGAAGAAGAAGGGGTACCAAACTAGCAACCATACGGTACAAATAATTAAGGTTTGAGAATCTTATATACCTTGCAAGGGCCAAGTGCAGAAGTCTCCATCTATAGGGGTTGTGTGGGTACATCATGGGGGTGATGAATGCATTGTGGAGTGTATTTGAGATGTACCGTAGTATGTGTTTTGTTGGTGATGTGAAACAATTTGGATTTGTTAGTTTTTTATTTTAGACAGCAGAACTATTTGCTTATTATAAAATTTGTATTGAGGTTACTGTAATTTTAGTTTCCAGGGCATCCAGTACAATGATTGTGGAATAGACATGCCAGGTTTAGTGTGATTCAGTTTTTAGAGAACAGAGTATTTTGTAGCTCTATGGAGTGGGACTGTGTTAAGTGTGCGTGGCAATAAAACTTACTGGCAGAAGATATATGAACCAGAAACCATAGATGCCATTGTTATTACAAAACATAAGTCATGAGCCTTGTTATTGTTAAACTCCATTTTATGAGGCTAGAGTAGAACTGAAGATTGAGGATATAAATGATAGGTTGAGAATTCCGTATTGTATTAGTGCATATTAGAGTTGAAGGTTTGGACTCTTCCAGAAATATTTCTTTACTGTAATGTGAAATATTTGGATATTGGATATGTGAAATTAGCTGTCGATCATGTTTTTGTTTTTGGTTGAATGCTAGTTCCGATCTCAAATTATTGTGCTTCCTTGAGATGAGACTGACTTGTATATTTGTACATTATAGTTTTTTTATCATGTTCTCTGTGGTAGACCAAACTCTAACAATTTTTTTTTCTTCAATATTTCAGCACCACTCGAAGAACAAGAAGTGCTACGTCTGCCTCAAACCGACAGGGGGCATCTTCAACGCTGCACAGGAGATCCGCAAGAAGATGGCACAAGACAAGAAGCAGCAGGAGTAGGAGAGCTCTAATTTAGCTGTGTTGTACAACGATGATTGGTGTGATAACTAAAGTCCGGTATTTTCGCCATCAGAAAAATGAGAAGAAAAGGTATTTGAACGCTTACATGAATGAACACATTCAGATCCAGTCCCTAGTCCCGACCCCCAGCTAGTCCAACTTGCTGTTGTGTTCATGTCTCGTCGCCTGCCAGTTGGTTTGGTTCCTAGCGATGGGCAGAGCTCCAAAGGTACAGTGCTAGACTGCCACTGTGTTGTTTGTTGCAGGGCACCAGAAGATCTTACCTTTGATACGGTAGCAATCGTGTCGTGCAGCCTGGCTTTGAGAATTCCCGGTAGGCTTTGCAGCGAGCGTGCTGGCCTGGTCACGCCTTTCTTTCCCCTCGTCCCCCATCTGCTTTTGCTGACAGATGAAAGGCATACCACATGCACCATCCGTTTTGTCGCCTCTGAGACATTCGTCCAGAGACCCAGCGATTCCTCGTGCCTCTTTGGCTGCTGCCGCCTTGTTTCCATGCGTGATGATGCGTCCACGTCCTGTGCGGCAGTACATGGAATATGGGACTCTGGTCTGATGCGGTAGGATCATGAGGTGACTGGCATGAACTTTGTCAGCGTAGCTGTGTAATGTTAGTGAGGTCAATTTCACTATTAAAATTCACGCCTTAGAGCAACTCCAGCGATGACCCATGCCTTATTTTTGAGTGACGAGAGGCAAAAAAAAAACACTTTAATAAATCAATATTCGCGGACACCTAAAAGTATGTTCTCAAAATTTCCCCTCATACTCTAACTTGCCCCGACTTTTCTGTTGTGGCCGTTTCTCTCTTGCTCATGTGCGCTCGTCCAGACTCCACTTAGCGGCTCGTATTTTGCTACCTTTCTCCTTTGAATCGGGTGGTCACCAACCGTCTCCGATGCCCTATTACTAGGAGGCCATGACAACGGTCTGCATCCGCACTAGTTGTTTCCCCATCGGATTTAGCCATTTAGGGCACCCATGGAGATCTATGCCGGTGTGGGCCTATACGCCATGACCGGCTAAACTCGGCCTGCCAGCATCATGTTTGACCTTTGGTTGCTCAATCCCAATGGTGTGCCCCTTTAGGGTTTGTTTGTTGAGCTGTGACTTCTGAAAAGCTGCTGTGAGTTATAGACGCTAGAGAAGCTGTTGTAGATTGTGAGCTGTGGAAAAACTATAAGTTGCTTGGTTCAAACAAGTATAAATCTTACCTCCTATCTCTATTTTTCTTGAAACAACTATGAAACAGCTCTCTATTTTCACTATTTTAAAAACAAAAAGCCAAAAGTCAAAAGAAGAGTATAAATCTTTGTTTTTCTTTGGCCATACTATTAAGGGGTATGAACTAATAGCTTGACCTAGGTGAGCTTAATGTGTTAGGTGTGGTGAACACTTGTCAAACTTAGCACTAGGTTGCTCATTGATTGCCTAAAGATCAAGTGGAACAAACCCCTTTCACAAAGTGTTTGAATTGGAAGTGAATTTGGGGGTTGTTGTTGCTCCGGACTGAGGTTTAGAGCATGGTCTGGACCATGGTAGAGGGTCCGGAGGACACGTCGCACTTCCTGGAAGCTTCTCAGTGCGTGCGCTTGGTCCGGACTGAGGGAAATGGGGCGTCTGGACTATGTCACCTGGGTCCGGTTGCCTAGGGTCTGTGTCAGGCGTGTCCGGACTCGGTGAATAGTACTAGTCCGGACCAATGGTGAGCTCGATCCGGACTAGTACAAAAGGTTCCAGGGAGGAGAAATGAACTCGAACTCGGTCCAGTGGTCACATCTGACACACTAGCAACGCTGTTTGTTTTGTGAGGGTCGGACCGAGTTGTGTTCGTTTAGACCATCCCTTTGGGTCCGGTCCGGAGCACAACAGAAAGGTGTTTTTGACACCAACGACTAGTGGCTTGTGTGGGAGTACTTATACTTCCCCAACTCGTCCATTCTAGCTCTCTTGCTCATTTGATCAGTTGAGGCAACCATTTGGAGTTCAAGGGAGTGCAAGAGCCTAGTAGGGTGATTGGGATTTGTTAATCCAAGATTAAGGACCTCATTAGTGCATAGGTAGTAGCAAGTGTGCATCCACCTTTCTTATTAGGCTTTTCATGGTCAAGTGAGAGTTTGTGCTTGTTATTCTTGGTGATCGCCATCACCTAAATGGCTTGGTGGTGATTGGAAGCTTAGCAATCATCCGGTGGTGATTGTGGATGACCCAACTTGTCTTGTGAGCGGTTGTGGGGGATTCACCGCATCGGAGAGACAAAGAATCAGCCCATAGAGAGCACTTGGTTCTTGCACGGATCGAGGGGGAGCTACACCCTTGTGCGGGTGCTTCAAGGAGGACTAGTGGGAAGTGGCGACTCTCCGATACCTCGGAAAAACATCATCGTGTTCCTTTCTCTCTTTACTTTGAGCATTTATATTCTAGCATTTACTTTGTGTCTTTGTATTCTTAGAATTACCATGCTAGAATAGGATTGGAATTTAGGGTGTAAAACTTTTGTGCGGTAGAACAAATAGATAACACTATTAGGCATAAGGGGTGAAATAGGCTAAGCGATAGAACTTAATTGTTGCTAGAAATTTTAGATCAGCCCAATTCACCTCCCTCTTGGGCATCTTGATCCTTTCACGGGCGACGAGCCCACGCCGCTGCCATCCGCTAGGGAGAAGAAGAGGAGGCTCGCGCTCGCCCAGGATGAGAGGGAGGACAGGAGAGAGGTGTGAGGGAGGCCGCTCACCAGAGAAGCGAGAGGCTCGCCGCCATCCTCTCACTCTTACTAGCCAGGCAACCAAACAACAGATTTGCTATGCAGGCTTAGCTTAGAGCAACTCCAACTGTTTGGCTAAAATTACTAGCCAAATTTCATAGTTTAGCTGTAAAATAGAAAACTCTTCAAGAAAAGAAGAGGTATGTGCAACAACCTTGCTATTTCTCATCTTCAGATAGCTAGCGCCCATTGTTGGCTTTTATATAGTCACCTAAAATTAAGGGATAGCCAGCTTCCTATTTTACAAAACCCGATAACACATCTTTTGGAGTCTACTTTTTGCTATACAAATTCTAAAACAACCTTCAAAATAAGAATAGCCTAGCTGTTGGAGTTGCTCTATACAGGCGAACCAAACAACGGCAGATTGTGTTGCTGGAACCAAACTTAGACTAGCCTTAAGCTAGGCTAGGCTAGCCCATGTAACCAAACACACCCTATATTATCGGGAGAACTTGTTGAGACACCTAAACAAATACTTCCTCTATGAAAGCATCTAGGCCCCTAGTTGGGTTTCGGTGATTAATAACGATACGAGATTACTATGACTAACGTGTGTTTTGCAGAGGCAATTTGAGTTAGGTCATGGTAATGACAATTGGTTGGGCAATCATGGTTGTCATGCCCCTATCGATGGAAATCATTTCGGTTTTCAAAGGATGGACGACAATGTTAAGGATTGACTAGTTCTAAGTGTCGTTTGGTGTTGAAGAGACACTTAGAGTAGTTTAGGACTTTATTTTTCCTTTGGCTGTACTATTAAGGGGGGTATGGACTAGTAGCTTGACCTAGGTGAGTCTAGTGGGTTAGGTGTGGTGCACACTTATCAAATCTAGCACTAGGTAGCTCAGGAGTAGCCCTAAGATCAATTGGAGTAAACTTTATTCACATAGGATTTCAAGTTGAAAGTGAATGGAGGGTCAAATGACTGACCGGACGTTGGTCTGGTTGTGACCGAACGCTGGAGGATGAGTTCGGTCAGTTCATTTGATCAACTGAAGTAGTCTGGTTGCGACTGGACGCTGAGTGAAAAGTGATTGGACGTTGGGTGCTTGCATCCGGTCAACTCCAAAGAGGTTCCAGAGAGGGAGTTTCCTGATCGGACGTGTTCGATCAGTGCTGATCGGACGCTAGTCAGGATTCGGTAACTGACCGGACGCTGAACAGCGAAGTGACCGACTCTGGGTGCCAGCGTCCGGTCAACATCAGTAAGGTTCTAGAGAGCGTTTTTCTTGACCGGACGCATCCGGTCAGTGCTAATCGGACGCAAGTCAGAGTCCGGTCAGAACTTAACGGCTCTTTTTGACATAGTGGCGGGGATAACTGATCGGAGCGTCCAGTCACCCTAACCGTGAGCGTCCAGTCACCCCGCAGAGTGATGACTCAGCCTCCAAATGTTATGTTTTGAATGAGGGGGTATAAATACTTACTCCACTCATCCAAGGGAGGTCTCTTGCCCATTTGTTCAGCTGAGAAACACCCTTGAGAGTGTAAAGGAGAGCAAGAGCCTAGTGAGGTGATTGAGATTTGAGAATCCAAGATTAAGGCCTCATTAGTGCAAGGAGAGTAGCAAGTGTGCATCCACCCCTTCTTATTAGGCTTATCATGGTCAAGTGAGAGTTTGTGCTTGTTACTATTGGTGATCGCCATCACCTAGATGGCTCGGTGGTGATTACCCTTGATGGCCAAGAGCAAAAAGAGCTGATAGGGCCGCTTTATGAACTCGTGTATAGCCATAATACAATCCCTCCTTGGGAAGTTCAAACTAGATCGAGGCGCGTTATGTTGCAGAGTGATTTATTAGCCGACTTGAGTTGCCATCGGCTGCGTGCTCTTAAAAAACATTGAAGCCCATAAACTAAGGATTGCAAAATATTACAATTAAAAGGTCAAGAATGAGTAATTTTCTGAAAGAGATTTGGTCTGGAAAGTAAAATTGCCAATTGGGTCAAAGGACAGCAAATCCGGTAAAGTGGTCACCTAATTGGGAAGGACCTTATCGGATCAAGCGTTGTGCGCCTGGTAATACTTATATTTTGGAAACACTGAAAGGAGAAGAAGAATTCGGCAGAGCAATCAAATGGGGAATATTTAGAGGAATATTACCCTAACGTTTGGATTAATACTTGACAACCAATTTGCTCGGTTGTCAGCTTTAATAGCCGATACCAGAAGGGTATCGCTTCTAGTGTGAAAATAAACCCAGAGGGGTAAA